ATAAGCCAGTCCCGCTTAATATTTGTCTATAAAATTACGCGTCGTGACTCTTGAGGCCCGAGATATCGGATGGTACCCACTGCAGAGTGATCGCACGCAATTATATTATTATTTAGCAACATTCTATATAATATTTCAGTTTCGAACCGTCGCCGGTGCTCTCTATCACGGATCCGATCTAAATCCACATACCTTCCTAATATATATTTTTATATTATGCACGGCATATTATAATGTCTCAATGTCTTAACGCTTTTGTTGCAGTTTAAAACACGTTGAGCTCCGCTAGTGTTTACGGCGCAGTGCCCTCGTCGCCGCGCCGAAAACTACGTATACGGTCGACTATGCGTCGACACCGGGCGATACGCGACGGCGCGACGCTGTAATACGTACTTATCACTTTATCTATTGCGCACATTACGACTGGAATAGCAACGGGAAAAATAAGCAAATAATAATCTTATTTTATTTATAAAATATTTCATGATTAAAAATCATTTTCATTGCGTAATAAAAATAGTTTTATATTTTTCCAATCGCCCTGTATTCTGAGGAACACGGTGTATACAGCGTAAAACAATTTGTATGAATATTATGTTAGTGTTGGGAATGTTATTCATATACCATTTATTATGTCAAATTGCGACAGAATTATAATGATACGGTTATACAATTATTATCGGCGATAGACGTCGYCGTGATTTCGGGGAAAAATAAATATCCAAACTAAAAATAAACAAAATTAAAAACCAATGGTATCGTTAGATTCGTAAGAAGGAACCCGATCGCCTGCAATAAATTTCAGACCGTTATCCCGKAGCCAGTAAATATTATAAACCATCAAAGTGAACACTATATTTGTCGACGGGTAGTCGACAAAGGCGACCCGGGCAATGTTGCCGATGTCGACTACCCGTCGACARTGGCATTGAACGTGTTTTAAGGTTTTAAYACCGTACTTGATGGTGAAATTCGACCGTTGTGCTTAAACATTTTTTTTCCTGTTGTGTTAATAAAGGTACGATCTCGATTTTTTCGTCGAGATTATTATTAAAGTAAGCTGTGGTGTCTATCGCATTAGGTTAGCCMGCGCTAATCGAAACTTCTTGTAATAATTATACAGTAAACCGACRACGACGATATAATATTATCGTGTTTATACGTTGGGCCTGTAAATAGTTGACGGTAGTATAGTATAATATGTATTATAGTTGTAGACTTGTATATATAGTATAATAAAGTAGTAATAATCATAATGTAATTATCTTAGTATCGTATTTTCGCGATTAACATGTACATATATATTTCTAATATAATTATTATACATTTTTCTGTAGCCCGTATATATATACATATATATAATATATATATATATAAAGTCTGTTTGTGCAACACGGAATTAAATTAAAAATTTTTAAAAATGAAATATAGTGACCGCTTTTCACGGATACCTACCTACGGCGGCCGTGGTAATATAGTATATTATAATATAAATTATACACTATTACAACTGTTATTGGTACACGATGTAGCAACGGAATGCTGCACGTGCACATGTTACGTATCAACAATAATAATATAATCGTGTAATGTATGATAATGATATAGATTAAGGGGAAAATATATGTTAGCGCGACGTCGAACCAAGTGATCTAATTATCATCTCGAGTGTAAAATACATATCTGTAATCGACCGCGTGTGCTCGCGTATTTATATCGGTTTTGTTTCTGTTTGATTGGCGTCCATTGTCAAGTTTGTGAAAAAAAAGCTAGATAAATGACTTCCCAAAGTTTCGATATAGTCGTCGTTGTGAGTAGGTATTTTATGGTAATTACCAGGAAACATATATATATATATATATATATATCATTATATTGAAGAATTGTCCTGTTTTTACACCTATGACGAATATAATTTTTTT